ATTTCCTTGGTTCTCAGAAGAAAGTGATGAAATAGAAGTCCTTATTATTAACTAAATCCTGCCTGCTTTAGCTAGGCATCGTTATTGTGATGGTAGTGCACCCAGGAGATCCACGGATAAAAGGGTTAGAAACTTCAGTACAAGAAGGTATCATTGGGAAAGTTACTGCAACGGACAAGTTTCTTGATCTATTTCGGTTAGTTTTTAAAGTATTTTTGATGCGAGGCATCCAAAGAAATTTTATCAGAAACATGATGCCTGAGAACATCGTCCGATCCACATTCCAGCAACAGCAGACAGTATATGTCTCTATGAATATCTCGGGTAGTGAGAGCATCGAAAAAGCCCGCATAGTTTACGCAGATGGCATGAATGTTCTTGGTGAGCAAATGTTTTTTCATGCGTAATATCCAACTCTTTCTCAAATCTTAAGGTTTGATTGTTTTCTGTATCGTTATGGGCATTGTCATATCGTTAATCGGGGAGCCTGCCCGTCCTCTTGCCAACTTTTTCATTGCTTTAGACATTGTCATTACCAAAATGGTGTTCTTTATCATGTGGTGAGATTATGATATACGCTGCGCGATTTACTAGAGAAATCTGCATAATTTCAGGTTTGGGCCTATCGGAATCCCATCACTGATAGCTCAAAAAATGCTTGAAGTGAACGATCTGGTAGCGACAGCCCACACGTTGGTAATGTTCATTCTGACCGTAACTTTTGGTAAACATACTTTTGTAACATCTCAGTCGTAACTGATCAACCCACAGCAACTTTAGGTTTGGCTGTCCAATGCTTTGGCACTCTTCCTTTGATTTATTTTATTGGCACAAGACAAAATCCCTACACTTTTCTTCGTGGTCTTGGACAAGCTGTCCTCACTGCTCTCGGCACATCTTCTAGGTAAACTTTGTATTTTCTAGTTTTGTACTATCATACTCACCAGATGAAGGTATTTAGAGTCAAACAGAAACCTGTGTGATAAAATAAGGATGATTAGCTTGCAAACAAGCGTCAGTTAAGAATTTCTATCAGTCCATGCAGTTGCCCATCACGAGTTTTGAAACGTATTTTCATTTCCAGATCCTCTACGATTTTCTAAGAGTTTATCATACAAAGTATGTATTACCATGAAAGCACGCATTCTTCTATTCCAAAAGCAGATGCCATCAATCCACTCACCTTGGAAAACATATGTGTAGGGCTTGTAATGAAAGAGGATCAAAATTCTATCGTAACATCAACATGATAAGATTTTGATCCTTTCCATTATCTTTATGCCTGCTAGTCGATCATAAGCATTGAATGCAACTGCTCAATCAATATTTTAAATCATCTTGAAGCTTTTGCAATGAACTGCATATATTTCCCCAAAACTTTGCTTTCAGTGCCGCTTCTCTACCAGTAACATTTCGCTGTTTGAATGATCTTGGAGTTGATAGTCGAGTGACAAAGTTTGTTCTTCCGGTTGGTGCGATGGTAAACATGGTAAGCACGTACTATTCTTTCTTCCACGCGGGCTTCTCGAGTAGAGTGGAAGCACAGCTATGACATTTGCAAAGTTTTTTCTATCAAGGAAGCTCCGGCATTCCTCTTTTCTTT